TATTCACCCCCCCCCAAAGGAAGCTGCCTTATTTTAAAGCACATTCCACACTTATAGTTCAGTCATAATTTCCCTGCAATTTATTTTTGATTAACAAAGCAATAATTGTTCCCTAAAAAGACTTAAAAAGTTGTTCTAACACATTAACAGTGTGGTCTTGACATCATAATGAGTCACTTTGAATAATGTTTTGATTAAATGCCTGTTGACATTTGACCCCACACAGAGCATGTCATGGGCTCTGCATTCATTTAACTAATTGGATTCATACATCAAAGGATCCAAGTAGACATTCTATGAATTTAAATAGCTTCTCATAAACCTGCAAGAAACCATAAAGTACTCTCCATCTAACAGGGGTTACACACACCTACAGATCATCATTTTGGGTCGGCATTGTACTGCACGCTTCCCTCAGGACATCAAAATTTACCAGCCATTTCCTCTAAATCCTCTAATCCAAGTTAATGGGCCAAACCGCAAAAGCCATTCCAAAGTTTCAGCAGCTTTTACACAAAGCCTTGGTAGCCAAAAGATGACTGATGCTATTCATAGATTGTTAAGTCAATTCCTTCTCTGCCCTTTTTATAGAAGGGTAACATCATCATTACAGGGTGCCGGTTTTACTTCATTTTCGACAAAGTTGCACTTCATATCAACTTTACTTAAAGATTGAAAGGGTTACTTCAGCCAAACATTAATATTCTGCTATAATTTACTCACCCTTATGTCATATAAAACCTGTGTGACTTTCTTTCTATTAACATAATACAAAAGGACAACTTGTGTAGTATGTTCAGGAAGCTCTCTTTCTTACAATGAAAGTGTATAGTGACCAAAGACTGTCAAGCTCCAGAAGGGAAAAAAGCAGCACAAAAGTAGTCTATATGACTTGTACACTACTATTACCGGTAATATGATAAATCTTCTGAAGCCAATCGATAACTTTGTGTGAGAAACAGAATAAATTATTCCCTGAAAATATTGCCCTTGGTCACCATCCACTTTCACTGTATAAACAAAAGCAGCATGAACATTCTTCAAAGCATTTCCTTGGCAGAACGGAAGTCAACATGAGGTTGAGTAAACAATGGATTTCTAAAAATGTAACAACTATAATCAAACACTGTAGCTGGAAAGCTTAATAGAAAGCATCTTTATTTTGACTTTTATCTACAAAGGGACTCCCTTTTCACAATTTCTGTGGATGACTCACCTGGGAGAATGTTCTAAGACTGTATAAGATTATATACTTGGTTAGCCTGCAGATTCTTTCTCCGCAGGCTAACCAAGTATCAGTAGAGACAACCCTAAATTACTTTAGAGGGAAAGAGCTTGACAGGAAGGTATATGCATTAACAGTCATGTGCTCATAACGTCATAAATGCGTGTCACAGTCTCTGATCATAATGGAGTTGATATATTCGGTTCAAACATAAGCTTTCATGATCAAAATATTGTGCGGATGCAATACAGAGAAATTAGGCATAAACCAATGTGATTTATCTTCTAAACAGTTCTCCTATAAATCTTCAACGATTTAGCTGTTGAGAACAGCACAGCTGGTTCTGCATTACCAAAATGGATGCCTTTGACTCTAAAATTTGATCTAGAAGCTCATTTATTCCGTACATGTACCTATTTATTGAACATTGGTGTCTTTTCTCATATTGACGTTGCTGCTTTATAAAAGCAATAAAGCTACGATTCACTGTTACACATAGCCAACAATAACACATTAAAGAAAAAGTCATTGTTTAATAGGAACACTATTCCAACTTAACAAATTTTCATAATACGTTGCTAAAATGACATTGCAACTTTTTATGCAAGCTATATTCCCTCAGACCAGCGTTTCAATCTTTAGGAAAACTGATAAGAGTTCACATCTGCAGCCTTTATAGAAGTTCTTTCTTCTTATAGAAGAAAGAATAATCCTGAGAGAATGCAAGATTAATTAGCTTCCTCGTTAATCAATGTGGAGGAGAGCCAACTATTTCCTGTCAAATGCAATACTCGGACTATACCAAACTAAGATCTGTTTGCATCTTACTGAGAAGTCCAGCAGGGATTTCCAGGTGGGTCGATGATGGGTAAAACTGGTGAAGTTAAGAGTTAAAAAGTCTGGTGGCAACAGCAGCATCTCAGTCAAAATATATGCCGGTCCTTTCAATATGACTGTTCCATTTCCTGACATGTTTTTATGTGTGTGGAAAGATGTAATCAGGGTCGAGTACCACTTGACGAAAAACAGATGCAAAATCTCTCTTAAAGTGTTAAATGATGTTAGTGGGTTGTGACATGATTTAACAGACAGCTGCCTGTTTCACTTCATCTCTTGCCTCTTATTTCAAATCATCAAATACATTTAATGCAGTTGCACATAATAAGGGATGTCAAACATACCAGCATTTCCGAATCAAGTTGATGCCAAAATAAAAAAAAAAATTCCTGACATGTTTTTATGTGTGTGGAAAGATGTAATCAGGGTCGAGTACCACTTGACGAAAAACAGATGCAAAATCTCTCTTAAAGTGTTAAATGATGTTAGTGGGTTGTGACATGATTTAACAGACAGCTGCCTGTTTCACTTCATCTCTTGCCTCTTATTTCAAATCATCAAATACATTTAATGCAGTTGCACATAATAAGGGATGTCAAACATACCAGCATTTCCGAATCAAGTTGATGCCAAAATAAAAATAAAAAATTTAATGATGCCAGTCTCTCTATATCAGCAAAGTACTCACTCAGCAAGCACTTACTGACAGTTGACTACCTTTAAACTTGTGCATGTGTGACTTTTATTTTAAATTTTATATATATATATATATATATATATACACACACACACACACACAACAATACACTAATGTTCAAGTTTGGGGTCGGTAAAATATTTAATGTTTTTGAAAAAATCTCTTATCCTCACAAAGGTTGCATTTATTTGATCAAAAATACCATAAATACAGTGATACCTTTAAATATTATTACAATTTAAAACATCTGATTTCTATTTTAATATATTGTAAAATGTAATTTATTGATCACAAAACTGAATTTTCAGCAGCCATTACTCCAGTCTTCAGTGTCACATGATCTTTCATCATGTAATAATTCTAATATGCTGATTTAGTGCTCAAGAAACATTTATTATTATTATTATCAATGTTGAAAACAGTTGTGCTGATTAATATTTTTGTGGAAATCATGACAATTCTTTTCATGATTTGTTGATAAATAGAATTTCAAAAGAAAAGCATTTATTTGCAATAGAAATCTTTTGTAACACCATAAATACACTGATCACGTTTGATCAATTTAATTGTAAAAAAGAAAAAAAGATCTTACTGCCCCCAAACTTTGAGTTCTTGAAACTGGTAATTTGACTATCAAATTCTGAAATGTAAGTAAATTTGGTAAAAACCATGTACAGGTATCATCACAACAGAAAACATGCATTTTTGTAGGTCACTTTGATAAGAAACTGGCCTTTGCCAGAAAGAAACAGACAATGATACAGCTGTGACCTTACCCGGTCAATCTCCCTCTTAGAGATGCCCCTGATGCGGGCGTAAAAATAGAGATGCTCTTCTCCAGTCAAGAGGTCATCCAGTGCGTCCACCTGAGGGCAGTAACCAATGTTTATGCCCTCTCTCCTGCAGTCTATGATGTCAACCAATCTCCTGAGGACACAGGCCAGGGAGATTTATGAACATGCAATGAAACCAAACACAAATGTTTAGTAAAAGAGTCTGAGTGCATCAGAAAAAGATGGTGAGCAACAGTAAAAGTACCAGATCAAGATTTTAAAGGGGGAAAAAAACAAAAACAAACGGTACCCGTCAATGTCACGGATCTTGGCCGAGCCATCGGTGGGGCTAATGTCTCCTGTCAGCATCTTGAAGGTAGTCGTCTTTCCTGCACCATTGACTCCCAGCAATCCAAAGCACTAAGGAAGATATTGACCTTCCATTCATTTACACTGAATGTTTTGCTGTCATCGATTATTCTCAACAGCTCAATAAATCTTCTATGAAAAATCATTCAGAACTGAAATATAATGAAGCACAGCATATGCCAAGTGCCTTAAACAAGACTTTCTGGGAATATATAGCTGCATTTCCCCTCTGTGACCACATCTACATACACATTTTTAGATAAATAAAATATTCTGATTAAAATATTATTGATTTTGTCATTTTGTTTAATGTTTGAAATTGATTTGAATTTACCAAATGTACTTTCTTTGTACACATTTCTGGACTCATCCTAATACTAATATGGAACACCAACTTTTCGCAATCCAATCAATTCTCAATGCACAAAATCAATTATCAATTTATGGTGATTGATAATTGGAAACACACTACCGGGAAAAAGTTGTTAATAGAGTCATAAAGATATTAATATTTATAATAATTAAGATGTTAATATTTATAATAATAAGTAATTAAATGTTTAATATTTTAAGATATTTTAAAATGTAATTTATTCCTGTGATGGCAATGCATTTTGCAACAGCCATAACTCCAGTCTTCAGTGTCACATGATCATTCTAATATGTTAACTTGGTGCTCAGTTATTATCAATTATTCTTGGTGCTCAATTATTAATAATGATATTAATAAAAACAGTTTTTGATGCTTGATATTTTTGTGGAAACCTTGATAATTTTTTTTTAGGATTCTTTGATGAATACAAAGTTCAAGAGAACATTTTTTTAAATAGAAATCTTTTGTAACATTATAAATGCCCTTACTGTCACTTTTGATCAGTTTAATGCAACCTTGCTGAATAAAAGTATTAATGTTTTTTTATAAAACAATCTTGCTTACCTCAAACTTTTGAAAGGTGTATATCACAGTTTCCACCAAAATATTAAGCAAACTTATGAGACTTATGCTCACCGAGTATTAAAAAATCTTAACTATTCCAAACTTGTGACTGGTAGTGTGTATATCGCATTAAGGAAGTAAAATGGGTTGCAAATGCCAATTTATGTTTACTTTTAATACTGGAATATTCTTGTGCATGTAAATGCTCTCATAATAAATATTAATATACAAATAGCACAGACCTCGCCAGCTGGGATGCCCACAGACAGCCTCTTCACCGCCTGTACCCTCTTGTTCAGGTTTTGGTACACCTTAGTCAGATGATTAACCTGCAGAATATCGGCACTCGCATCCCCACGGTCCACACGCAGACGTTCAGCCACCACATCTTCATCTTCATTGGGGCTATAGCTCTGAACAACATTCTTCTTCCAGCATCTATGAAGAAATACACAAATGCACAACAAATGTAAAAACTTTACCACTGTGCCAGTCACTTTGAATCCATAGTGCCAGAGCCTCAGGTATACCTGACTTTGCGCAGGAGTGTCTTGTTAAATAGCAGGCGAAGCGTGAAGCAGATGAAACCCTGCAGGAACATGGAGATGTACATCCAGCCCAGAACATCCATGCTGAAGGGGGTCTTGTAGGCATCCACTCCAAAAACACTCAAGATCTGCACCTGCATGTCAACCCGTGCCAACTCCATCAACCCATTGCCAAAGCTGAACTGAGGGAAGACTAGGAATATGTTGCTCATGGTACGGTACACATTCTGGATGCTCTGAAATGGACAGTGAAAGCAAGTTAGAGAAGGAAGAATGATCTATGGTCTATTTAATCATCTTATTTGCCTGGTGAAAATTTATATTATATTATATTATATTATATTTATTATATTATATTATATTATATT